TTTTGTTCAACACCTGAAAAAAAAAGTCAAATAATTTAATAGTGGTTTTTATTTTTATAACATTTTATTTAATTTTGTATTCTTATTATTTACTATCAACTTACAGGAATGACTTCAAGGTTGTTTTCCAATGCCAAATAAACATTAGCCAATGTCTGAGCTTCCACTCCCTATAATATAAGATTAAGCACATAATATAATAAAAAATATATATATTTCTTTACATTATAACACAAGTAATTCAGTTTTTTTTTTTTTTAATTTCAAATGTGGAAAATGTGAAATACATACCTGTGAGGCATCTACAACAAGGAGAGCACCCTCACATGCAGCAAGAGATCTAGAAACCTGAAATCAGGAAAAAGAATGTCAACCAACAATATGTATTTGTTCTTAAATTTTTTAATATGAAAAATAATAAAATTATAGTTTATTAAATTATCTGTCATACCTCATAGGAGAAATCAACATGGCCTGGAGTATCAATAAGATTAAGGCAATAAGGTTTGCTTTCATGTGTGAAACGCATTCTAGCAGCCTGAAAGGGTAATTTAGGAAAATTCATTTAAAAGAAAATACAGAAATGAAAAAGAAGAGAAACATGTATTATTTATTACAATGATTTACCTGTATTAATTATTAGCTATTACATGGTTCTTTCAATTAAATCAACATATCTCTTAATGCCTTTACACCAAATGATATAAAAGTCTAACAACTTGCAATAACATTGGAATTTGTAACTAATAAACTCATAAAGGTTTGATTTTTGAGTGTTACAACATTCTACATATGTGGTAATTGGATTCAACTGAAAGTACTAAAAGACAGAATTTTTGGTAGTTCAACATTTTCAACACCAGAGCACTGTGTGTGCATTTAAGATGTGATTTTGGAGTCTTGAAGATATCAAGATTAATTTGAGAAGGAATCTAACACATTTTGGTTAGGTTAACATCACATAATCAAGGTATGAGCCCTAATCATACTTTTAAGTTTCATTTGGTGATTTCTGTATCACAATGACACAAACATGTAAGTGAATGTCCTATAGTAGAAAAATGAGATGAACCTTATAAAACCTTAAGCCTTTTCACTTCCTTTCAATGAAAAATGTGATAATGGCTTTAAAAAAATGCACCTGTAATTTGATGGTGATACCCCTTTCCCTCTCAAGATCCATGTTATCCAGAAACTGTTCCTTCATATCACGTGATTGCACTGTACCCGTGACTTGCAGCAATTTATCAGCTAATGTCGATTTTCCATGATCAATATGTGCAATGATGGAGAAATTTCTGATGTTTTCTGTGGGAACCTGCAATTCAATCAAAATAACTGGTTTAAAATCGCACCTAGTTAGAAGGTTATGTTCCACAGGCTAACCAGTTCAATACTTCTATCCAAAGAGGTCAATAGAAGTGCTAAAATTCCCCTCATGTCTTATCAAAGCAAGAATACCTGTGAGAATGTGCATAATTTTGAAAGGATTGACCATACCTTCAAAAGACGATCTCGGCCGGCGACAAATGTCGCTTCTGAGGCAGAAGCATCTTTGGACTGGACGTCTGCGGCCTTACTACACACGCGATACCTACTCCGGCGACTTCTACTGTAGCTGTTGAAATTATTTTTGGAAGAGGGAAAAGACTGTAGACTGTAAAATGTTCTGTTAGAGGCGGGAAATAGAAGGTGGTGGTGGTGGTGGCTGATGCTAGGGGTTCTGCCGCAGTGGTGGTGGTTGCCCTGTGGTGGTGGTTTCGAGGATAAGAAGAGCTTTAGGTTCGTCGCCATTCCCACGGCGGTGGTGGTGGTTGCTCTCGTTGGTTGTTGCTTTTAAACCACAAATTCGGGACTTACCCGCTATCTTTTGCATTTTACATTTTTACTTGATTGTAGTCGATTTCATACAGTAAAGAAAAAAAAAAAAAAAAAAAACAATATTCATCTTGGTTATTTTTTCTTTAAGTTTTTACTTCATTTAATTTTGTTTTATGTTAGAGTTATTATGTTGCATTACATTATTATATTATAATTATTATCGAGATTGTCAAATTTATCTATGTATTTGTCTTAGTGCTCATTTTGACTTACTCTCATCTTGTTTCACTCTTTTATATATTTTTTTTTACATTTTTCGGATGTCTTCAGAGTTGTATTTCTTTTCAAAAGATAAGAACGACAACTTTCGGTCATCAAGAATAATACTATCATTACTACTATTATAAGATTCTATTTTAAATTATAGACGACAACTTCTATTATGAGTGTTACTTCAAGCATTAATAACAAAGACCTCCACCACCACAAATTCCTACTTGTCAACTTTATGAAGCAACTATTCAAAGACATCATAATGCATACAAAAACGACAATTGTGCATTATTTTCAACGGTTCCGGTTATGATTCTTATTTTAAGTTTCATTTATAGAGAAGTGTTTGTTTAGAAATTAGATAGAACGACTTGGAAGCAAAAAAACCCCTCTCTCACTCTGGCCTTTTGTAAGTCTAATTTGTGTGGATCACTTAGTAAAAAAATAGAGATTATAAGCATAATTTATAATATTTTACAATTTAATATAAATTAAAAACATGATAAATGATATGACAAATATTATTATAAACAAACTCAATGGATGGACAGCATGGGCGATGGCATCGGGTCTCCAAATTTTTATGGCCCATTTTTTATGTATCTATTTATATTATTATAAGAAAAAAAAATGTTTGATATTAAGTAATCGAAGGCAACGGCAAAAAAAGAAAACCAATATTTAGCCAAAATTGTGGAGAAGACGAAGAGCTTCCAACCGATTCTTCAAAAATCTAAGCAATTAATCATTTTTACTTAAAGAAATTACTGTTAAGGGCCTCATTTTTTATTTTGCTCGGGGCCTCAAATCAGTTTGAATCGATCATGGATGTCTTCTACGTGACACATTCATTCTACCATTACGGAGATGTAACCTTCGACACTACCTTCCTCTAAGTCCTACCATATTATTATATGTTTCTCGGTTGTTATTGTGTTTTCAGATTTATGGTTAATTTTTTAATAGGACTCTTGATGTTTGTTGTTGTTATTGTATTGTCTAGTAGGATTTCCAATGTTGTTGTATTGTCTAATAGGATTCGTGATATTTGTTGTTATTGTATCGTTAAATTTATGGTTAATGTTGTAAAAAACAACTATAGTCATAAACCACCAAAACATAAAAAGATTTTGATGACTTCTTGTCTGCCCTTCGGTCCTCCTAATTTCTTTAGTTTTCCTCCATTCTTGTTATAAATTGATTGTGTCAATCAATTTATGTAACTAATGAACTTATCACTTGTGATTGTTGCGACGGACCTGTGTTTAGGCATCATGACGCGTAAAAGAGTGAGAGAGCCCGTCAAAACACACTGGCATATAAAATATGAATCATGTGCCAAAAATATATCTCAGTATAGGCACCTAATTCTCGCTCTTATGCCCCTGCTAAGTTTCTTACATTATTACATAAAAGATTTCGCTAGTTGATGAAGTTCAAATAACAACACTAGCTTTTTTGTATAGTATAAATTTGACTCATTTACATGAAACATGCAAAATCCACATGCTAAGGCTAAAGGGTATGGGAAAGTTTTTACTCGTCAAAACCTATGTAGCATATATTCTCACCAATGAACACCGCCCCAAGTCTAGTAATTGTGTTGTGGAGTGGTTAGCTTCACCGAAGCTTACGTAGACTCTCTCTCTCTCACACACTCTCTCTCTCTCTCCAACCTAGTGAAATGTTTGCGGAATTGTTAGATGATAATGTGGCTTGCTCTTCACTACTTTTTCACCACTGATGATACCTTGATGATAACGGATAGCCTAACAAGTCCAAACAACCAAGAATAACATTCAAATTGATAAAAATAATCCAATTGGTCAATTTCAAAATGTACATAGGATACACAAAATCCTTGATCGGTATTCATTATCCATAGTGTAGGAGTTGACATACTCACCGATCACTAATTACCATATCTTCATGCAGTAAACAGTCTTTACCTTTTCCAAAATGTCATCAAACAACGAACGAGTACACTATCGACAAAGTACAATTAAATCTAAATCGTGTTTTCGGTTTTACTTTTGCAAAGCATACATGTTGAAGAAAATAAATTCACTTGGCTTCAAAATCCGATCCGTTTTTTTTAGCTAAGCTTTTATATTTTATCCATTTTAAATAAAAATTCACAAAATCAATCTATTATTGAAATCACACACAAACAAAAAGTGGGTGTTAGGACTATTGTAGCATGTTTTTGAGTGGTATAAAACATTGCACTTTTTGTCAATCTAAACCTAGGGGTGTTTGGGATTACTTTTGAACATCAAAAGTCCTTTTTGAAGAAGGACTTTTTGCAAAAGAAGTTCTTTAAAATGTGTTTGGATTAGCAAAAAGACTTTTATGTTAACTTTTACATTGTAAAGTCACAAAAAGTCAGGTTTTTGTGACTTTTTGAAACCCCCCATTTTCCTCTATACAAAAGTCATTTTCAAAAGAATTTTTCTATTACCCAAACACCTTTTGTATTTTTTTTTTTTTTGACTTTTTTGGAAAAGTTAGAAGACAAAAGTCATTTTAAAAGTAACCCCAAACACCCCCCTAATGCATGCCAAAATGCAGTACCAATGTTCTGCCCCACATGTGTATTGGACCTACCATTAAAAAATGTCTGTCAAACACAAGACAAACATCGATCCATCAATCTCAATATCAATCTAAAGCACGCCAAACACAATCCAACTTGTTGCATTGTGGATAACCAGACCTGTCTGTCTGTCTCTCAGTGTCAATCCAATACACATCAAACACAGTACAACCAGATGAGTCAAAAATATAACATAGTAGGCAATCAATTAGAAAACACATCACCATCAAAATACACATATTCTAACCAAATTAAAAATCACCAAAACATTTCACAACTCATCAACATCTTCTTCATTCTTCAATCACAATCATCGTTTTTTAAATCCGTATTTTTTACGTTCATAGAACAGGTCAGTTTTAGCACTGCCCAAATTGACAATCTTCGGGCAGCCATCCCGATCTTTTTCCTGTTGTGTGCATTCTTTGCAATAATAAGCATCAGAAATACCAACACCTCCACAAATGACACATCTACCCTGGAAGGATCCATAGTTGCATTCATCACATACACGTACAAGTGTACATGGACGCACATACGAGTCACAAATTACGCATTTGCCATCACATTTTTCACAGAGCCGCCCGATGGCAATTCCGGGCTGCTTCCTGCACATGATCAAATCCGGATGATGCTTTGCCATGACAACTACTCAGCCTGCAATAAACAATGTGGTTGAAGTTGAAATCGTTAAATTTGAAAAGGGCATTTACGTCTTTTACACAGACGAGTCCCTAAGCTTCCTAGGGGTATATTTGATGAAGAGATGAGGAGGGTCTCTACGTCTTTTTCATAGATGAGTAAGTTTGTAAGCTTTCTAGAGGTGTTTTCAATGATGATGAGGAGGAGGGCATTTAAGTCTTTTGTACAAAGATGAGATGAGGAGCGAGTCCCTAAGCTTTCTAAGGCTAACTTTTGATCAAAGGAGGAGGGCATTTATGTCTTTTTGCATAGACAAGACGAGGTAAAAAATAAAGTATTGATAGCGAGGGCAAATTATGTTGTTGTTCTCCATAACTTGCCCAAATTAAATACCATGAATGTTTTTGAAATAGAACTATAATAAATAAAAAATAACTTGATTGATTTTTGAATTTTTTTTTATAAACATTAGCATTATTGAATTATACAAATAAAAGCAATTCATCACAATTTATCAGAAAATTGGGTTCAGTTCTGTCTTCTGTGAACCTGTTTTTAAAGAAGATAAGCAAGCTCCATTTAACTTTTGTCTCACTTTTATATGTGGCATAATTTATAAACCCTATTATTTTTCATTCTTATAGCAACTTTCCATGATAAAAGAAACAAATTTGATTCCAAACACATCTCAACAACCAACTCATAGCTCTCAAACCCAATTTCTAGATTCATTTCTTCAAGAAAATTAACCATCTCAACTGTTTGAATCATTGAGAAGGTCAACAATTTGTTGGTAATTTTTGGATTCAATGGTGGATTTGATTGATTGCTCAAGTAACCATTGTGATGAGATTGAATGGATGGGAGATGAGAAGTAAATGGAAGGGAAAGAAAAAGAACAGAATGATTTACAATTACATAGCTTTTTCAGTGCAATTGCAATAGATTGATGTTCAGAGCCCCAAATTTTTGATAAAATGTGATGTTTTTGGCAAAGTAAACCCTGAATTTATGAACGTTTATTCATATCCTAACACCAATCAATCATAATGTTCATCAAATATAGCTAACCAATTCAGAACCCTAGAACATTTTCTCGCCATAACATTATCAGACAAAAAAATTCAAATTCAGCGACTCACCCGTTGTAATTTTGCATACGGAGTAAATGTTAGGGTTAATCGCGCATCCAAAAGCTTAAAATAAAGGAGCTTCTAGGTTTGTATAACTAATTGCGAGGATCTTCACATGAAAATGACTAAATTGGAGGTTTAGCAAGCATAAACTATACATCAGCCAAAGAAAAACTCCACGAAAACACACGAATGGAGCAAATATACAGATATACGTTGATAGAGACAAAGAAACTTAAAAGTAGTGGGTTTGACAAAAATCTAACCTGGTGATGCTTGAAAAGGTGGGACGCAAGATTTTGGGGATTTAAAACCCGATGAAGAAAGGTTTGCAAGATGTTCAGACGGGATGCTGCAGTAGCTGAAACTTGAAAGTGAATCCTCGAGAGCCTCCTTCCGGAAGTTTGTGGAAGTCGGGCCAATTTTAGGTCGTTTAATATCCGGGTTCGAGCCCCGAAACCACAAAGTCTTTTGCTTTTAGAATTCAAATGTGTTTTTGGTAAATTTGCATTGGACTTGGAACCAAATATCTAGAGCAAATGATATAAAAAAAACTTTAAGTTTGATCAAATGTGGGAAATTATTTTTTTAACTTATTTTAGGTTTATTAAAACCGGTAGTTTGCTGTTTTTTTTCAATTTTATCTTTATTTCAGGTTTATCTGACAAAACCGAACATTTATGCAAAACTTAAAAACTTTAATGAACTAAAAAAAATGGTAAACCGAACAAATTTGACAAACGTTAGGGCTTTTATGAACCATATATACGCAAATGGATAAAATTGAAAAAAAAAATTGCAAACATCCAACTTTAATGAACCTAAAATCCACAAAAGGGTAAATATTTATATTTCTATAAAACTTAAAGGTTATTATTGTTGGATTAGATGTCTAAGCTCATAACTATAATTTGCATAAACTTGAATTAATAGTATCACGGTCCTTTTGGGTTGCCCTCAAACCTAACAACTGGATATGATGATTTTAGAGGGAGATGTTGATTTATTATTTGATTAATAAATTGAAATAAATAATTTATTAATATATTATGAAAATAATATATTAATTAGAAATAGTAATATTTAATTAATAATTAATCAGAAATTAATTGGAATTAATTTTGGGATTAATGAAATTAATTAAAAGTGTAGGGACTAAGTGTAATTGTTCAATAGTTGAACAAAAGGCTCCAGAACCTTCCATACATAGGGTGGATGGTTTTTTAGAGACATTTTAGTTTTTAGAATTATCCTTAGATGATAATTAGGAAGCTAGATAATTACCAATTCAAAATAATATTATTATATTGGTTTTGGGTTTATTTAGGGTTTCCTAATAGCACTATATAATGACCTATAGTCCTTCATATTTCAGCCATCATATCTTTCCTAAGGATAGTCGAAATTATACTATCCCCTCTCCTCTCTCCATAATATCCTTCTTATTTGTGTTGTGTGTGAACTATTTGAGGCACGATGCTTGTAGTACTTAATTCCAAAAGATCAACAAGGGGATTTCTAATTGTTTGCTATAACAACACCTCCACAAATGACACATCTACCCTGGAAGGATCCATAGTTGCATTCATCACATATACGTACAAGTGTACATGGACGCACATACGAGTCACAAATTACGCATTTGTCATCACATTTTTCACAAAGCCATCATATCTTTCCTAAGGATAGTCGAAATTATACTATCCCCACTCCTCTCTCCATAATACCCTTCTTGTTTGTGTTGTGTGTGAACTATTTGAGGCACGATGCTTGTGGTGCTTGATTTCAAAAGATCAACAAGAGGATTTCTAATTGTTTTCTATAACAACTAAAAGGCATGTAACCCTAATCCTTTTCTTTAGTAATTTTCAAAAATTACCTGGGGTTTCTAGGGTTCTTATTTTGATGTTCATAGTTATAGGTTCAATAGAGAAAGCATAGATATTGTTTTAGGTTGCATGCACACTTAAGAGTTTTAAGTTTGTTTGTTATGCCTAAAAATCATCAGTGGTATCAAAGTGTTTGGTTTGTTTTCAATTGAATTTGTTATAATTGTTGAATTTGATCAAATTAGGGTTTATGGAAATTAAACCCTAAAAGGCTTAAATTTCGAAATTAAGGTTAGAGTTTTGAAACCCTAACCTTGCCCCCTAAGTTTGGGCTAGGGTTTTGAAACCCTAGCCTTCCCAAGCAAATTTTCGAAAATGGTATTAGTTGGTTAGGGTTTCCTAAATTTTTGATAATTATTATTTTAATTGTTTAGAAGGGATAATTGGAAAAAAAATTGGATAAATCTGATACCCTAAATTTCAAAGATTAGAGGGTAAGGATTAGGATAAAATTAATTGATTAGTTTAATTGAATAATCCTTATTTGATTTAATATAATTAATTAAAATTAATTAATAGATAATCATTAAATCATTTGGTTTATTTTAAAACTATTTATAAACCTAGTATTTTGAAAAAGTTTTAAAATACACCTTATACTATATGTAAAATTAAAAGTTTAATAATTATTATATGTATAAGACCAAGTCAGTCGAACCGCTAGTACGCCTCATTCACGAAGCTAGTCTATAAGGGGGTATAAGGAAATTGACTATAAAATAGTAGTTGAATGGGTGTGAACTCTCACCCACAGCTTCCTTGACTAGTGGATGGTCGTTAGTCGAACGGGTTTGATAGGACAATTAATTCTCATTAAAAGTATAATGTTATTAAAAGTAACTTTTTTTTTGAAAAATCTCAATCTTAGTTACTTTATAAAAAATGTGAATTTGTATGCCAACCCATGAAATTGCACATTACGCTTTATAAGGCGTTAGTAGAGCGTGTGTGGTTAATCGGCACACTAATGGGGACTAATAAAGAGTGGTGATGGGTATCTCGTAAATTATCATTATTGACGGAGCGTATGTGGTTTACCAGCACATCAATTGGGATGAGAAATGACAATGAGGTTACCAAGCACATTTACATGGTTATTCACATCTTGTTTGTGATCATCAGTATCCCAGTCGCAAATAGAAGAGCACAATCTGAGATTAAACATGTCATTGAATAGTTTCAATGAATCTCAAAAGATCTAGGAATTTCAACAAAACTTAATTTCTTTTTAAAATTTCATTTCTATTGGTGGAATTGGTAAATCGTCATTTACCTACTTTTATAAAATTTACAATTAGATTACGGCATCCTTTTTCTAAGTTGTGAATTATATAGTTGGATCCTAGCCTTAATATTTCATTTTGGGTTGCTATATTAAGGATTATTCTTATCTAACTAAAACTACCTTATTTTTACAAATGTCTACTTCAAATGATGCTTTTGGTTCCTCCTCCTCCTCCCATAACTTTTCATTATTGAACATCTGCTCGAAGGTGACATTGGATGGCACCAACTACAACGACTGGATGCGCAACATCAAAATGGCCATTCGTTTCGAGGATAAGGGGTATGTCCTTGAGAAAGAACTAAATGAGATTGACAAAGAGAAGGCCACTCTTGAAGAATTAGCCACCTACAAGAAGCACTACAATGATGCAACAAAAGTTGCTTGCATCATGGTAGCCACCATGACTCCTAAGTTGCAAAGATTCTATGAGGATTATTGTCCGTACGAGATGAACAAGGACCTTATGGAAAAGTACCATAAGCGAGCTCGTCAAGAAAAGTACGAGGTGGTAAAGTCCCTCATAGCAAGCAAAATGAAAGAGGGAGAGTCTATTAGCAACCACGTGTAAAGGATGCAACGATACGTGGATCGCCTTGTTAGGCTTAATGTGCATTTTGATGAGGTGTTGGTTATTGAAATAGTCTTGAACTCCTTACCAAGTTGTTATGATCAGTTCATCTTAACAACAATGAGACCACCTTGGCTCAATTGCACAACCTCCTGCGAACAACTGAAGCAGTGATGAAGGGAAAGAGTATTGCCTCCACTCCTGCTAGTACTCTCGTTATGGCCATTGGTCAAGGGAAGGGGAAAAAGAGGAAAGGTCCTCCAAAGAAAAACTGGAAGGGAAAGTCTCAAGATGGGTCGTCAAGCAATGGACCCAAAGGTAAATCCAGTTCTGATGCTCCTCATGTCTCTGATCCTAAAAAGGCCACTTGCTTTTACTGCAACGACAAAGGGCATTGGAAACGAAGTTGCCCAAAGTATCTGCAAGATATTAAAGATGGAAAGGTGAAGCCGACTTCTACAAGTATATAGACTATATCATCTAATAACTCATCATCTTCTCATTCTTGGGTCCTTGATACGGGATGTGGATTTCACATTTGTTCTGATTTGCAGGGGCTGAGAAGAAGTGAGGAGGTGGAGCACGGTAGAATGAACTTGATCATGGGGAATAGGCGATATTCACCTGTCACCAAGATTGGAGTTTATAGTCTAGTGCTTAGTAATGGTGTTGATTTTGATTTGATAAATTGTTGCTAGTCGTCAGATTTGACACAAAACATTATTTCTTTTCATGCATTGTTTAGACAAGATTTTAGATATTATTTTAATGATGAGAATAGTTCTATTTCTGCTTATAAAAATGGTGTTTTTTATTTTGAAGCTTTACCTTGTGAATTGTGATGGTGTGTATGAAACTGTGATGTGTGTAGACAATTTAGGTAATAGTGTATTTCAAATTGATTCGTCTAATGGTATAGACAAAGCATTCTTGTGGAGTTGTCGTCTTGGACACGTTAACAAGAAACACATCGCCCAAGTCTAAAAGGATGGAGTGTTGGAATCATTTGACCTAAGGTCAGATGATACATGTGAATCGTGTCTTTTGGGTAAAATGACAAAATCACCTTTGGATCTTGTGAAAGAGGTGAAGGTTTGTTGGATCTCATACGCACAAATGTGTGTGGGTCCTTCAGATCATCCACAAGGGATGTTAATCGATTCCATGTGACTTTTATTGATGATTATAGTAGATATGGGTATATCTACTTGATCAAGCACAAGTCAGAAACCTTTGAAAATTTCAAAGAGTTTATGAAAGAAGTTGAGAATCAATTAGGCTGGAAGATAAAGACGCTCCAATCAGATAGAGGCGGATAGTATGTTAGTATCGAGTTCCACGACTACCTCAAGGAATGTGGAATAGTTTCACAACTGACACCTCCTAGGACACCACAACTTAATGGTGTGGCTGAGAGGCACAATCGAACCTTGTTAGACATGGTTCGTTCCATGATGAGTCTATTTTCTCTTCTAATTTCATTTTGGGGGTATGCCTTAGAGACTGCTGCCCATATTCTTAATCTTGTCCCAACTAAAAAGGTTACCAAAACACCTCACGAGATATGGACAGGGAAGGTTCCCTCGTTAGCACATATCAAGGTTTGGGGTTGTGAAGCTTTCGTTAGACGAGAGACTCGCGACAAGCTTGAACCTCGTAGTGAGAGATGTATTTTCATCGGCTACCTATAGAAGTCCTTTGGATATTTGTTCTACAGACCTAGTGAGAACATGGTCTTGGTAGCACGAAGATGAGTTTTTCGCGAGAGAGATCTCATATGCAAAGAGGACAGTGGGAGTACCATTGACCTTGAAGATATTCAAGAATCAAATGATGAAGGAACCTATGAAGACGCTAGGGTTCAACCAGAGGAAGAGATTCCAGTTGAACCAGTTGACAATTCATTACCTGTTAGGCGTTCCAATAGAGTTAGAGTGCCACCTCAGATTTATGGTTTCCATATAACTGCAGAAGGTGATACATTTATCAATGATGAAACACTGATAAATTTGAATGAGTCGACTAACTACAAGGAAGCAATGGCAGGCCCTGAGGCTGTTAAATGGAAAGAGGCAATGGATAGCAAGATCAAGTCCATGTATGACAACCAAGTTTGGAATTTGGTTGATAATGTACCAGGTCGAAAGGCAGGTGGGTGCAAATGGATCTTCAAAAAGAAGACCGACATGGATGGAAAGGTACACACTTTCAAGGCTCGACCGGTTGCGAAGGGGTTTACTCAAACCCCAGGGGTTGATTATGATGAGACCTTCTCACCAGTGGCTAAGATAAAATCTATTAGGATAATGCTAGCCATAGCTGCATTTCATGACTATGAAATTTGGCAGATGAATGTCAAAACCTCTTTCCTTAATGGGAATTTGGCTGAGGATGTTTACATGAGTTAGCCAGAGGTTTTTGTTGATGACAAGTTTCCCAATAGAGTGTACAAGCTTGAGAAATCCATATATGGGTTGAAACAAGCTTCTTGTAGATGGAATCTTTGTTTCGACGAGGAGGTCAAAGAGTTTGGCTTCTCTAGAAGTGAAGATGAGTCCTGTGTATATGTCAAATCTAGTAGGAGTATAGTAACCTTCCTAGTATTGTATGTTGATGACATACTTCTTATAGTAAATGGCATTCCAACTTTGCAAGAGGTTAAGTCTTGGCTTGGAAAGTGTTTCGCTATGAAGGACCTAGGTGAGGTTGCCTATATTCTGGGGATAAGAATTCTAAGAGACAATAGTAAAAGACTAATTGGACTTAGTCAAAGTGCGCACTTGGAAAAGGTACTAAAACGTTTTAGTATGGAAAATTCCAAGAAAGGAGAAC